TACCACTATGTTTGGTTCTGTTGTTTGGCTAAAGACCCCCATGTATTTTTTAGAAATTAATATACGATGGATAAAAAGGAAACGTACACATTTGGCTGTAATGCAAGTTAGAACTGATTGATTAAATAAAATCTGGAGTACCCATCACAAGTGTTTCTGAAGAATATGGTGTGAAGAAATAAACTTATACTACGGATGAAGTATGCATGTGCAATAAATAATAAATTCAATATGCACGAGAAATTTCATTTTGAGCTGTGCTTCGAAATATATAATTTGTTATTTAACTCACTCCTGGTTATTCTGGAGGGTATTCTGAAAAATTCTACATTATTTCAAAGTTTTCGTGAAATAGTCTGACATTGTCTTAAGTTCCGGAAACCGAAACGTCGAAATATGAAGCACAGGACCTGTCGCGACAACGAAAATCTTTCCATGAGGGAGTGAACAACTCAGGTTTCGTCGGTTTATATAAAAATGAACACAGTACAGGTTTAAGCTGAAACGTCGAACTAAAAAGTAACTAACGCGTAGAACCCATAGCCATCTTTTGTCGAAGAATTCAACAGCTTAAAGAGGTTTAATTACGCACGGTGAAATACATCAAGGGAAACTTGATGTGAAGGCAAGCCTTACTGCTCGATACAAACCAACTACCGTAGGCAATGTCGCCAAATTCACCAACTGTACCTTGAAGAAATCCGATGTGGTGAGAACCGACAGAAAAATCAATATTGATCCATCACCTGAGAGACTGGCTGTTTTGCATTGTTCATTTGCCGATTTTACGCTGTTTCACAGTATGACTAACTAAACATGCAAAAAACCCCATGTACGGGAGTTAAATTTCTAAGTACGTGTTGGAAAAAGGCTCTTAACATATCTCTGCTACATTGTAAATAGAAATGATGCCTTCAAAACGGTAAAACTGATGAACATGGCAAAGCCGCTGCGTTACTTACCTACCGTAGTTTTTCAAATTCTTGATATCATTTTTGGAAAGCTGTCAATGCGAAGTCGAAACATCATAAAACAGGCCACAAATCCTTTTAAAAATTCGAATTCTGGTGTTCAGGAAGCAATCTTTAGTCTTCCAGAAGGACTTCAAATCAAATATAAATTTTACCACAGTTTGGCACTCAGTACTCGCTCTTTGAGGAGAGTACATTGCAGTAATATTTGCTACGCGACAGAGTGATGAGAAGAACCGGTGATTAATTGGAGAATGTCTAGCATTTCGTCGATTCATGGTCGAGGGCATCAAACAATGCCTAGTGTAAAATGTTCATAGGCAATGTACTGCGTTAATGAATCAGTGGCAGATGGTGACGATGGCATCGTCAGAGTACAATTTGGTGCTACCGGTGTAGTAGCGAAAAGCGTTGGTAGTAGTGCTTTTATCATCGGTATTGTTTGACACTCTGCGCAATGAATCGACAAAACCTGAACACTTCCATCAGCCGACACAGAATCGAAAACGTAGAATTGATTCTGAAAAATGTTATGCTACAAAGCGCCATTGTACAGATGAGATCACGTGACACTGAACGGATGTCATGAAACCTTAATCGACGTTAATATAATGTGTGTGACGAGGATCTCACGTCACCAGCAAAAGGTCAACGGAGGTAAGTAGCTCGTTGACCAATTTGTTTTTAGACATCAATTTTTACTAATGTTCTTATACATAAATCCCATAAATCCGACTTTATACGCATCTGCAGCATAAAAATCATCTCAAAATTTTATCGACAAGAACAATGCCTTGCACACCATAAGTGATGCTTCAGGAGTTGTGATTCCGTATACTTTTTCGCTTAAGCGTCAGGAATATAGATATATTGATCGATAGTGACTGCACCGATCTTGATCTACTGCAAACATTGTATTATACGGTGCATCGTACTATGCTACTGAGCGTCTATTTTTAGGCATAACAATTATTGGCTTCAGAAAAGTTATTAGTGAGAAAGCCCAAAGCATTTTTCTCATTTGAATATGCTATACAAGATGCACTGATGGTTGCAGGCTCTGAAACGTGGCGCGGCATTGACTTCTGCGACATTCCGCTATTCCTCTAGGCGCACTTTCATGATGCAGCAATGACGCTTAGATTACTGATATTCATGAGTCTTCAGTGAGTTCGACAATGTCTCGCTCGACCTTACTAAATTCTATTTCCAGCTTTTAATTTCTTGTTCTGCAAAAGAGTAATCTGCCGCCGTACGTAGCTAGCGCCAGTAAACCGCAGCAGCTCTGATCCATGATCTGGGTATTTAAAAAACCCTCTTCTTTCATGCCCAACCAGCTGTTGTTTTCGCCGGCGGCAATGCAGCCTCCTGCGCATGGAGGACACAGTTTACTTTGTGGTTTCATTTTGGAGGATTTGCCCATAACTTGCAATGCTCTCCAGGCGAGTTGATGAGTATCGCTGATATTTTTCTAGCTTACAGAGCACGACTGAATAAAAAGATTGAGCGTGCATCGTCTTGAAAACCCACTGTCACTTTTCTACCTCCTACCAATGTGAGAAAGTGAAAAGAGAATTTAGGAAGGGAGGAAACTACTGAAAATATGAATATAAAACCTATTTTTCAGTTCAGGTTATTTGTATAGTGTACTAAAGTATATCATAGAATATAGTGCTAAAAAAGTGTGCAAATGCTGGAATGTACTGCTTCATACTGCCAATCGATACAGTTTATAATGCAACATGCATCTTTTCGTTTAAACAATGGAAAGCTTAGGTCGACCAACGCACTG